AGGCCCGAAATGTCAGCCTTCCTGCTCCTATGATGCTGCTTGGCCTGCTGTGTTCATCCAGCTCTACACCTTGTTATCTCAGATTCTCCAGCATCTGTAGTTCCTACTATCTCTAATGGGGAATTACAATTTGGTCTGAAAACTAAGGAAGTCACTGGAGATTAAGAATCTACATACAATAGAGGAGCAAAGGAATTTCCTTGAGGCTACAAAGGCACAAATCACTGAACGTTGTGACAAAGATTAAATAACCCCATAATTTGAATTAGCTTTATTGTGACATGTACTCAAATGAGTACGGTGCAAAGTTTACAGGTTGCCATATACAGCGCCATCTTAGATATGAGGTACCTCGGTACAGATTCATCAATAACAATGGCAATCTAAGATTTAAGGGTTACTTCTAGAAGGTTACAACTGAAAAATAGAGGAATCATGTTAATCTGCATTGAATTTTATTTCCACTACAGTGTATGACTGCATGCAGCTCTGGTTCCCACGAGAGGTTACAGTAAAGATTTATGAGGATACCACCAGAAATGCAGCCAATGAGAACACGTGAATCCTGAGCTGTCACATTGAGACCTTTGAAAATTGTGGCCGATTTTGGTGAGTATACGCGGAGACTTGTGAGAAAAAGGAAATCTGGAGGCCACCAATTTCAGATATTCACGAAGATTTCAAATACGGAATTCTGAATAAATGTCTTCACCCGGTGATTCCCACAAGAGGGTAGTGAGACAAATGTAATAGATGCATATAAGGAGGAATCTAAACAAAGATATGAGGGAGAAGGGAATGGAGGATGTTACTAATAGAATTGGATGAGGAAGGAACCTTCAGTGAGGTTTAAATGACAACACGGGCTGATTGGACTAAATGGCCTGTTTCTAGATATTCTCCAAATGTCTGTATGTTCTGTGTAACTCTGTGTGAGTACCTTGGACTGTTTTCTACATCTAAGATGCTATAAAAATGAAAGTTCTTGTTGTTTTTGTGAATGAATGACTTCACATACAATGAATGTTCATGTCATTGTCCCCTAAGGCACAGTCAATATTGAAAGGACGTTCTTAATGAGATAGCTGCCTCATATGATAACTGTTACATTACTCTGGCCACAAGCTGTAACTGCTGCACAAACAGAGCCTATTCAGGACATTGCTATGGTGATCAGGCTAACTGAAGAGGTTCATGTGAAGCTTACATCACAGCGTGCATCAGTTGGGCTGAATGGCCTGTTTCTGTGCTATAAATTTCATGGAGTTCATGCAAAGTTTGAGCTCCAAATTACTGCCTTTGTGATTTTTTTCCATTTGTGTCCACAGAGCTTCCTGCTGGTGTTGAAGTTTGTTACTTGCATCACAGTGATTGACATATTGCTAAGGGGATCAAGAGGCACTTAGATATTTGGGCAGTGAGGAGTGATTGAGAGATTGCTGAGTGATCAGGTGAGTGGAAGTATCTCCAAAACAAAGCTTCTGGTCACACCAGCCTTTAGTGATTCTCCAGCAATGGCTTAACTGCTGGTTGCATGGAAACAGTCTGCTACAGCTTTCTGTCTTTCTCACATTCATTGAGAGGTCACAACTAGCCTTTTCCTCATCCTCCATATGACCCAAACATCATGTCTGCCAGTTTCATACCTTACCCACACTCACTTAGCCCCAATATTGCTATATCTACTCTAATGTCACACATACTATTCTGAGCTACATTTCCTGTAGCACTGACTAAAACTGTCTGTTTCTCAATGGTTTGAATTATGCATCAAATTTTTCCTGTTAACATTATGTTATTTGGAATGTTTTAATTTTGGGAAAACTAGAAAGTTTTAATGGATTACCTTATATTGAATTCTCTTTTTATTTATTTTTGAAAACATGGAAATTCTTTCCTCTGTTCTTTTGTTTCATGATCTCTCTGTTCAATCATTCAATTTTATAGATCTTTTTCCCTTATTTCTTGTGTAATAATTTTCAGAATGTTTATTTTCGAATTCAGTTTGCGTTTTGTTTCTCTACTCTTCATTAGGTTTTCATTCCTCTGTTTCTCCATGTCTTTCATTCACTGCACATTCCGTTTCACCCTTTTCATTGTTTTTCTTTGGGACTTTTCATTTTATTTTCATATTTTAACAAAACTCCATCTTACTTCAACTTTGGTCTGGATCTACTTTGCAATTTAGGATCATTGTGACGATTCTGGCACATTTTGACACTGATCCTCATCCTCCTCCAGTTTACCAAAAAAACTTTTAAAAAAGCACTTTCCTGTTAACCTCCAGCATGAACACGAGTCAATTATCAATAATTGCCTCCATTTCCCTGACAGAGATTATAGCTGAAACGTAGCACATGCTTTAATGACAAGGCTTTTATGCTGTTCAAAATTTGGATGCATTTACGTAAAAAGAAAAAAAAACATAATGAGGACATTAATTTTTTTTCTACAGATAAATAGGCTTCTCTCCATTTTCTCAGATATTCGTACATTGCAACTCAGAGCTTTGTGGCTGTGTTTCATGTTAGACTATATTTGAAACTATTGTTTGAGTAATCACATTTATTTGTGTGAATATCTTAAACTTAAGAAAATAATCTTCAGTATTTTTCTTCATCCAGATAAAGGTAAAATGATTTTAATATATTTATGAGTATTATTTAAGAAGTTTCTAATTGCTCTTTGCATCAGTCCAGTGTTGTTATGTATAGTGTTTGTGTCTGGATTCAGGCTGGTATATGAGGTTGCTTGATACAGGCACTGTTTAAACAATGCACAATGGTGTCTGCAGCAGGAGTGCAGATTGATGGAAGAATAGAAAAATCAGCTGATTTTATTTGACCGAAGTTGTTGCCTTTCTCACGAGACTGTTTAACATTGACACATTGAGATCTCAGCTCAAAGTGAAGTATTAAAAATTGAGCTTGGAGTTAGACTTGTTATATCTCATTGATCATTGGGATTCCAAAGTGCTTTGGTGACCATTGTTGTCCTGCAGGAAGTCTGGGTAATGATGAAAAGAAGGTCAACAGTGACAGGGAATGTTATTGCTCTCACTCTGCTCCCATAGCCTTGAGACCATTGCTGCCTCCTCATTGTTGCCCTCTTTGTACTTGCCCCACCTTACTGTGCCCTCCCTTACTGTACTCCCCTCCCTACTGTCCCCCCTTCACTGTGATACTCACTGTACTCCCCTCCTTACTGTCCCCATCTCACCATCTCCCTCACTGTATTGCCCACACCTTACTGTCCCCCACACTGTCTCCTTAACTATACTTCCCTGACTGTCCCCTCAACCTCACCCCGACCTCCTACTCCACACGTATCCTCCTTCATATCTGCTTGCAATCTCCTCACTCTACCCCATAACCCTTCTCACCCTACCCTCCTTATTATCCATCTGCAATATCCCCCTTCATCAAACCCCTCATTCTCTGCACTCACCCCTCACCAGATTCCCCCTCACCATTAGTTGGTGAACTGACCAATGCTGTGGGGAGTCTACACTAAACGTTTAAAGCAAAACCACCAACTGTTTCAATTTTCAAATTTAATGCCAATGTTAAGATGATTGAACATTTTTTTTTTGATTATCAATATTTGCAAATGAAACTGGCCGTGTCAAAGGTACAGGAAGAGACAACGAGCGATCTTGCTGACAGAGTTTCACTCATGCCTGACATAAGCCTGATGTGACACTCAGGTGACAGGGAAATGTCTCTCATTTTATATTCTACAACATGTAATATTCTTTTTTTTTCTCTTTAGATGTATAAAGTCAGGACCCTGATCTGTATGTCTTTGATACTTTGTGGATTAGTGACCGAATGTTTTGGCTTAGTGATCATGGTAATTATATTAAGGCTTCAATACAATGTCAATGGGGCTGAATTTGATTATTTGGGGTGAGAGCCAACTTTTCTGGAGGAGGAGATCAGCCTATGATCAATGTCAATTGAAAAAGCTGTCTTTAAAACGTGGGTGTGCATGTTAGAAAGTGGGAATATTTCCTGAATTTTCCCTCAGTGACCTGTTACTACCAGGTTGTCTGTAGAAAGAATCATATCTTTTAAACTCACCTTTTCTCATTGTAAGCATAACCCCTGGAGCCTCACTGATTCTCCATAAATAGCAGCATTTCCAACTTTAGAATATAATGAACTAGTCACCCTCCCCTGGCATGCTCATTGGTACCAAAGATAACCTGTCAGGTTAGTTCCTGTATATAACATAAAATCCTCACTGTGGGACCAATGGGTGGCTTCACCCACTCATCAAAACCCAGATTTGGAGGTTATTCTTACTGTAGAGGTGCTCTGTCTGTGGAAGGGGATTCTGGAAAGCGCGCTGCCTATGTAGAGAATGCTGAGACGGAATGGGATTTTATAGAGCTGGTCGCTCTCCTCAAGTTGGATTATTTACAGCTGATCTGTAAACGTGTGGAGGGATCTCTCTATGGGTGTCCTGTCAGATTGAGCTCTCTCAAAGATATTTTTTATCTGAACCATTTACTTGTGCAGCTATAAAGAAACAGTAATTTTTTGGTGAAAAAAACAAGGAACTTATCCTTTAGGAAAACAAATGAAACCGAAAGGTTAACTTGTGTAATCTATTTTTCAGCCTAAAGACAAAAGGGGTTGGACATTGAACAGTGCTGGATATCTGTTAGGTCCACGTAAGTAAAGGTGTCAGTACCTTGGACTCCATCCTGATCATCCCCAAACGTGGCTGTGCTGTAGGGAACTCTCTAATCTGTTATTTTATTGATGTGTTTTTACCCAAAAGAAATTTTCCAACCTATGTCCATGACACCACCCACGCCCTCCACCTCCTCCAGAACTTCCAATTCCCCGGTCCCCAACACCAAAAAAAAACCCTCTACACCTGCATTCCCCATGCAGATGGCCTTAAGGCCCTCCGCTTCTTCCTGTCCCGCAGGCCCGACCAGTCCCCCTCCACTGATACCCTCATCCGCTTAGCCGAACTCGTCCTCACCCTCAACAACTTCTCTTTCAATTCCTCCCACTTCCTACAGACAAAGGGGGTAGCCATGGGTACCCGCATGGGCCCAAGCTACGCCTGCCTCTTTGTAGGTTACGTGGAACAATCCCTCTTCCGTACCTACACCGGCCCTAAACCCCACCTCTTCCTCCGTTACATTGATGACTGTATCGGCGCCACCTCGTGCTCCCACGAGGAGCTCGAACAGTTCATACACTTCACTAACACCTTCCACCCCAACCTTAAGTTTACCTGGACCATCTCTAACACCTCTCTCCACTTCCTGGACCTCTCTGTCTCCATATCGGGCAACCACCTAGAAACCGATATTCATTTCAAGCCCACCGACTCCCACAGCTACCTAGAATACTCCTCCTCCCACCCACCTTCCTGCAAAAATGCTATCCCCTATTCCCAATTCCTTCGCCTCCGCCGCATCTGCTCCCAGGATGAGGCATTCCACTCCCGTACATCTCAGTTGTCCTCGTTTTTCAAGGACCGTAACTTCCCCTCCTCGGTGGTCGAGAACGCCCTCAACCGTGTCTCCCACATCTCCCGCACCTCATCCCTCACATCCTGTCCACGCAATAAGAACCAAAAAAGAATCCCCCTCGTCCTCACGTACCACCCCACCAACCTCCGGATCCAACGCATCATCCTCCTACACTTCCGCCATCTGCAATCCGACCCCACCACCAAAGACATCTTTCCCTCCCCACCCTTATCTGCTTTCCGGAGGGACAACTCTCTCCGTGACTCCCTTGTCCGCTCCACACTCCCCTCCAGCTCCACCACACCCGGCACTTTTCCCTGCAACCGCAGGAAGTGCTACACCTGCCCCCATACCTCCTCCCTCACCCCCATCCCAGGCCCCAAGAAGACTTTCCACATCAAGCAGATGTTCACCTGCACATCTGCCAATGTGGTATACTGCATCCGCTGTACCCGGTGTGGCTTCCTCTACATCGGGGAAACCAAGCGGAGACTCGGGGACCGCTTTGCAGAACACCTACGCTCGGTTCGCAATAAACAATTGCACCTCCCAGTCACGAACCACTTCAACTCCCCCTCCCATTCCTCAGACGACATGTCCATCCTGGGCCTCCTGCAGTACCACAACGATGCCACCCGAAGGTTGCAGGAACAGCAACTCATATTCCGCTTGGGAACCCTGCAGCCCAATGGTATCAATGTGGATTTCACAAGTTTCAAAATCTCCCCTCCCCATACCGCATCCCAAAACCAGTCCAGCTTGTCCCTGCCTCCCTAACCTGTTCTTCCTCCCACCTATCCCCTCCTCCCACCTCAAGCCGCACCTCCATCTCCTACCGACCAACCTCATCCCGCCCCCTTGACCTGTCCGTCCTCCCACTCTCTCCCTATTTATTTCAAAACCCCCTTCCCCTCCCCCTTTTCTGATGAAGGGTCTAGGCCCGAAACGTCAGCCTCTCTGCTCCTATGATGCTGCTTGGCCTGCTGTGTTCATCCAGCCCTGCACCTTGTTGTCTCTTTAACAAAAGGAAACTTGTATTTATTTATAGCCTACAGTCTCCATCTAACATGTGAAAGCATTTCACAGTCAACCAATTATGTTGACGTGTAGCAAATCCACTAAGAAGGAGAGAGTTAGTGTCCAGACAATCTGCTAATGGTCGTTGTGGTTTTCAGATGAGGACAGTAGGAGAATTACTGGTGTTTAAATAATACATTGAGAGAGAGTCTGGATTGTCATTGAAGACAGCCTGTCCTAGGCAGCAGCTTTTCAGTACAACACTAAGTCAGCAACTGCTCAAGTCCTGAAGAGGTGCCTGAGCATAATATGTTGTGACTCAAAGAGCTACTGCAAAGCACAAAATGCTGAAGATTCTCTAAATCTGACATAAAGGCAGAAAATTCTGGAAACACTGAATGGACAAGCAGTCTCTGTAGAGTGAGAAACAGAACTAACATTCCAAACCCATGACATTAAGATACTGATGTTGTACATTTGAATGTGTAGGAAGTTTAGAATTTACTCTGTATGAATGAATGGTCAGTATCCAATTTGAGCTATTGCCTAGAATACAATTTTGATTTATTTCAGAATTGAAAAGATTTAAGATGTGTTTAAAATATCACCCTTTAATTTGAGGTAAATTTAATCCTAGCCCATTTTGGTGTTTCACTTAGGAGTTTGCTAGGTGGGTGGGTGGGAAATTGGTGGTCCCATGATTTGATGAACAGCTACTTTAAATCATAAGCCACAAGGTACTTATAGGGTCCCTTTAAATATGCAAATCAGTGAAAATCAAATTTACCAGGAAGGAGTCACCTCCCTCCCTCACTCTCCCTCTCAAACTCATCCTCTTCTTCGTAACTCACCTTTTCCTCTCTCCCTCAACCTCTGCCCCCTCCCTCATACTCTCCCTCTCACGCTTTCTCCCTCTCATCCTCATCCCTATTCACATTATCCTCTCTCACTCATAATCTCCTCCACTCTCCCTTCTCCACCTCCTGCCACTGTCAATCACTCTCTAATAACTCACCCTCTCACACTCATCCCTCCTCATTTAACATTGCCTCATTCAAACCCTCCTTAACTCACTATCCTCCGGGGGGGGGGGAGGAGAAGGTGTAGTGGTAGTATCTCACCCTCTGGGTAAGGAGGCCTAGGATCAAGTCCCACTTGTTCCAATATTGTGTCATAACATCTCCTGAACAGGTTGATTCGAAAATATTGAGCTCAGGGATGTGTTTGGTCCATTAGTGGGAATGTGTTTGGTCCACTAGTGGGAATGTGTTTGATCCATTAGTGGAGAGTAATGTTGGCGTTTAATGTTTTATTTTCAGTGAATGAACTTGGTATCTTTACTTTCAGATGCAGCGAATGGTCACAGGTCACTGAACGACAGAGGGGGCCTCGCTGGAAAGAGGGATACCTTTGATGATAATTACAAATTAGCTGTCACAAGTTTCAGTAAGAACAGTTTATAGATATTTTCATTGTGTCTTTGTCATGGTGTAACAGCCCCAGTGTGAACCAGCACACAGGTCTGAACTGCAATCTCTCTGCTCAATGTGGGTGCAGACAGGAAACACGAGGGACAGAGGGAGAACCTCCCTGTTGGTGAGAGGGACTGAGGGAGACCTTCAATGTGGTTCTGAGGAACTAAGAGACTCCCTTTGCTCAGTTGTGGCTCAGTCTATAGCATTCAATTTTTAAAAGATCCTAAAAGTTACAAAATTTATACTTACTTCAACATGTATCAAATTGAAATGATTTTAGTAAACTGGGAAAACTTTAAACTGTTAATCAAATCAAAAGCCGAGGACCTGGGGTATTATTTCAGACAGAATTGCAGCAAGGGGTAATATTTCAGAGAGTTACAGTGAGAGGTAGGATATTTAAGAGGAAGTTACAGTGAGGGGTAGCATATTTCACAGACAGTTAGAGTGAGGGGTAAGTTAATGGGGAACACATGGCAAAGGAACTGAAATGGCACTTGCATCAATAAAAGACAGCAGCAGGATATCTGAATTTCTAGAGAGTCAGGAGGAAGAGGTGAGTATAGTGGCCATCACTCAGGAGAAGATGCTGAAGAAGCTAAAAGTTGTGAAGGTGGATAAATCACCTGGACCAAATGAACTACACCCCAGAGTTCTGAAGGAGATTGCTGAGGAAACATAGAAACATAGAAGATAGGAACAGGAGGAGGCCATTTGGCCCTTCGAGCCTGCTCCACTGTTCTTCACGATCACAGCTGGTCGTCTAATTCAATAGCCTAATCCTGCTTTCTCCCCATAACCTTTGATCCCATTCACCCCAAGTGCTATATCTAGTCGCTTCTTGAATACATTCAATGTTTTGGCACCAACTACTTCCTGTGGTAATGAATCCCACAGGCTCACCACTCTCTGGGTGAAGAAATGTCTCCTTATCTCTGCCCTAAATGGTCTACCCCGACTCCTCAGACTGTGACCCCCCTGGTTCTGGACACACCCACCATCGGGAACATCCTCCCTGCCTCTACCCTGTCCAGTCCTGTTAGAATTTTATAGGTCTCTATGAGATCCCCCCTCATTCGTCTGAACTCCAGCAAAAACAATCCTAACCTGGTCAATCTCTCCTCATACGTCAGACCTGCCATCCCCGGCATCAGCCTGGTAAACCTTCGCTGCACTCCCTCGAGAACAAGAACATCCTTCCTCAGAAAAGGAGACCAAAACTGCAGACAATATTCTCGGTGTGGTCTCACCAAGGCCCTGTACAATGCAACAACACATCCCTGCTCCTGTACTCAAAACCTCTCGCAATGATGGCCAACATACCATTTACCTTCTTTACCATCTGCTGCACCTGCATGCTTACCTTCAGCAACTGGTGTACAAGGACACCCAGGTCCCGCTGCACACTCCCCTCTCCCAATTTACAGCCATTCAGATAGTAATCTGCCTTCTTGCTTTTGCTTCAAAAGTGAATAACCTCACATTTCCCCAAATTGCCATTGATTTGCCCACTCACCCAAACTGTCAAGACCATGCTGAAGGATATCTACGTCCTCGTCACAGTTCACCCAACCACCCACCCAACTTGGTATCATCTGCAAACTTGGAGGAAATTATAGAGTCATTGGTCGTGACCTTTCAAGAATCACTGGAACCAGGGAGGGTCCCAGAGGATTTGAAAATGTCTAATGTAGCACCTGTTTAAGAAGGGAGGGAGGTAGAAGACAGGACATTATAGGCCAGTTAGCCTGACCTTGGTCATTGGTAAGATTTTAGATTCCATTATTAACGACGAGACTGTGGAGTACTTGGAAGTACACGGTAAAATAGGACTGAGTCAGCACAGCTTTATCAAGAGGAGGTCATGCCTGACAAATCTGTTAGAATTGTTTGAGGAAATAATGAGCAAAATAGACAAAGGAAGTGATTTATTTGGAATTCCAGAAGGTCTTTGAAAAGGTGCCGCACAGAAGGCTGCTAAATAGGATGTTATGGACAAGGTACTGGCAATGGAGAGAGGATTGTCTGACTGGCAGAAGGCAGAGTATGGGGATAAAGAGGTCTTTTTTCAGGGTGGCAGCCAGTGATTAGTGGAATTCTGCAGGAGTCCATGTTGGGACCACAGCTGTTCATGTTAAACATTAATGATCTGGATGAAGGAACTGAGGGCTTTGTTGCAGATGACTCAAAGATACGTGAAGGAATAGGTAGTTGAGGAAGCGTGGAAGCTTAAGAAGGACTTGGACAGACTAGGAAATGGGGAAAGAAGTTGCAGATGGAACACAATGTGGGAAAGTGTGAGGTTATGTACTTTGGTAGGAATAATAGAGGCATATAATATTTTCTAAATGGAAACGCCTTCAGAAATCTGGAGCACAAAGGGACTTAAGAGGTCAAAATTCTCATGGAGAGTTACAGTGAGGCGTAGGGTATTTCAGAGGCAGTTACGGTGAGGGGTAGTGTATTTCAGAGGGAGTTACAGTGAGGGGTAGGGTATTTCAGAGGGAGTTACAGTGAGGGG